CAGTTCAAAAGCATCAATTCTTTGGTGGTCAGCTTTCTTTATGGTCCAGCTCTCACTTCCATACGTCACTACAGGAAAAACCATAGCTTTGACTATGCGGACTTTTGTTGGCAAGGTGATGTCTCTGCTTTTTAAGATGCTGTTGAGGTTTCTCATCGCTTTCCTCCCAAGAAGCAGGTGTCTTTCAATTTCAGGGCTGCCGTCACCATCTGCAGTGATCATGGAGCCCAAGAAAGTAAAATCTGTCACTGCCTCCATATCTTCTCTTTCTATTTGCCAGGAGGTGATGGGACCAGTGGCCATGATCTTAGTCTTTTTGATGTTGAGCTTCTGACCGTTTTTTACACTCTCCTCTTTCACCCTCATTACAAGGTTCCTTAATTCCTTCTCACTTTCTGCCATCAGAGTAGTATCATCTGCATATCGGAGGTTGTTGATATATCCGGCAATCTTAATACCGGTTTGGGATTCCTCCAGTCCAGCCTTTCGCATAATGTATGTATATTGCATATAAGTTAAATAAGCAGGGAGACAATATACAGCCTTGTCGTACTCCTTTCCCCATTTTGAACCCATCAGTGTTTACATATCTAACTGTTGCTTCCTGTCCCACGTATAGGTTTCTCAGGAGATAGATAAGATGGTGAGGCACTCCCATTTCTTTAAGGAGTTGCCATAGTTTGCTGTGGTCCACACAGTCAAAGGCTTTTGCATAGTCAATGAAGCAGAAGTAAATGTTTTTCTGGAATTCTCTGGCTTTCTCTATAATCCAGCGCATGTTAGCAATTTGGTCGTGGAAGTGATGGCATTCCAATTGAACTATTTAAAATTTTGAAAGATGATGCTGTGAAGTTGCTACCCTCAATATGCCAGCAAGTTTGGAAAACTCAACAGTGGCCAGAGGATTGGAAAAGATCAGTCTACATCCCAATCCCAAAGAAGGGCAGTGCCAAAGAATGCTCCAACTATTGTACAACTGCACTCATTTCACATGCTACCAAGATTATGTTCCAAATCCTCCAAGGTAGGCTTCAGCAGTATGTGGACCGAGAACTCCCAGAAGTACAAGCTGGATTTCAAAGGGGCAGAGGAACTAGGGACCAAATTGCTAACATATGCTGGATTGTGGAGAAAGTCAGAGAATTCCAGAAAAACATCTACTTCTTTTTCATAGAATACATAAAAGCCTTTGACTGTGTGGACCACAGCAAACTATGGCAAGTCCTTAAAGAAATGGGAGTGCCTGACCACTTTATCTGTCTCCTTAGAAATCATTATCTGGGACAGGAAGCAACAGTTAGAACTGGATATGGAACAAATGATTGGTTCAAAATTGGGAAAGGAGTACAACAACGTTGTATACTGTCTCCTTGCTTATTTAACTTATATGCACGGTACATCATGAGAAAGGCTGGACACAATGACCCCCAAGCCAGAATTAAGATTTTTGGAAGAAATACCAACAACCTCAGATATACAGATGGTACCACTCTGATGGCAGAAAGTGAGGAGGAATTAAATAACCTCTTAATGAGGGTGAAAGAGGAAAGCACCAAAAATGGTCAGGAGTTCAACATGAAAAAAAACTACAGTGGTTCCTCGCTTTATGATTGCCCCGCATTACGACGAATCTGCTTTACGGCAATCTTTTTGCGATCACAATTGTGATCGCAAAACGATGGTCTAAATGGGGGAATTTCGCTTTGTGATGTTCAGTTCCCTGCTGCGGGAACAGATTCTTCACAAAATGATGTTTTTCTAACAGTTGATCGGCTGTTTCAAAATGGCTGCCGGGTAATTAAAATGGCTCCCCGCTGTGTTTAGGGACAGATTCCTTGCTATACAGACTAAACAACAATTATGCATAAATTAATTTCCTGGGAGGGTCCCTGTGTGAAGCATAACAGGCAGGGACCCAACCATATCCATAATTCCTTGCAATTCCCATTGAACCTAGTCCTGGGCAGTCTTTATCATGCTGAGAAAAGCCATTATTTTCCAGCTGAAAGTGATTACAGACAGTTGAAAGGACTGTTGTTGTTTTTTTGGCAGGGGAGGGGTTGGCTAAAACACTTGGTGTGGAGGTCTGGCTGAGTGAATTCCTTAAGACTTCTGAGACCTGTAGTTCATGAATTCCAAAGTTGCCTCCCAAAATGCCCACTGTTTCAGTGGGCTTAAGACTTATTACACTGAGCAATAGGGTTTTAGGTAATGTTTTAGGATATATATGTATATATCCTGAAATGCTTGCTATATATAGCTAGTGTCTGTATGTTTGTTTCTCTCTCTCTCTCTCTCTCTCTCTCTGTGTGTGGGTGTGTGGGTGTGTGGGCACATGGGTGTGTGTGTGTGCGCGCGCGTATGTATGTAGAGACTTCACAAAGAAAACAAAATATGTATTGAACTCTGGACTAAAATCTGTTGTTAAATTTGGTACTTTTACACTTCTGAAAATATATCTTGTGCAATGTCAAATATTACTGACTTTCTATGCCACTGTCACTTTTTAGCCATCACCATAGCATTCAATTATTTCTCGTTTCCTATGTATTTTTCCTTTTGGGTTCTCTTTGTCTTCATTTGTTGTTTATCTCTTTCTTCCCAAGTTGTGAAGAATATTATGTGTGCTTACACTCTCTTCTCAAATGTTTGCCATATCTGTTCCTAGCTATGTTGGGCTTTTGTTTTTACGCTTTAGGACCATGTCTTCCCTTCAGAAAAGGCTCTTGAATATGATTCGATGTTTCCGAAGGGAATGGCGTTTATATTCAGATTCAGAGAGGATCACAATATGTGGTGCAGACTGCATGCTGATGGTTTTGCAGCTAGCTGTTGCTGAGGTGAATAAAAAGGTTGGTATACTAAGAAGAGGTCTTTGCTTTGAATATTGTGAATACTACTCGTAAGGTGACCAGATACAGTTCAGGAATTTGAGTTGAAGGATATCTTTGGATTATGCCATTCATTGTTCTGATGTTTGGGAAGATTTATAAAAGTATCTTGATAACTGTTTAAAGCAGTGTTCCTCAATCTTTTAGAAGCCACGCTCCCTTTTGATAAATATAAACAGGGCTTGAAAAATGCACTCATCCACTCATCTGTGATGAGTGAAAAATGCTGCTCAACGAGTCACAGCTTCCTCCATGCATGCCTCCTTCCTCTCTCTCTCTCTGTCTCTCTCTGCAACGAGTCACAGCTCCCTCCATGCATACCTCCTTCCCCTCTGTCTCTCTCTCTCTCTAGTCCTGCAGTCCTCCCCTCCCATTGCAAAAGGAAAACTGTCCTCGTGAGAAGAGAGTTCGAGCAGTACATAGAGATATAGTTCTGCAGGAGAAAGTAGAATAGTCCTGTGCTGGAGAATATGGAGATTCTGTGCTCCCAATTTCAACCAAACGAGGATACATCCTGGGGTGGTAGGGAACCATGGCTCTTTAAGAGGTTTGCTTTTAGTTTTATTTTTGCTGGAGACATTCAAAAGCAAGGCATTCAAAATAGAAACTTCATGACCCCACAAGCATGCAGATAATAAAGCAACCCAAGTCTGAGGGTATAAATCAGTGAATTCCAATCCCAATAAATTGCAAGGCTGGTGAAATTTTTGACTGACTGATGAGACATTCTAAAATTTTTCAAGCCCTGAATATAATGGTCTCATGCAGCCTTTAAACCTGCTAATGAGGGTCTGTTTTGGCCTGGGAGGGACAGATGGGAGATAGGTTCTAGCAGATATGAGGGAGAATTTAAGGGAAATGCACATGACACTACCCACACAGATAAAATAATAAGGTATATTACCAAACATTGCTTAACGAGTCCGTAAATTGTTTATTAAGGAATTAAGAGGTATAATGATCCAAGGTCTCATAACTATGATTTGTTTAAGCCAATTTTAAAAAAGCCAGGATCAACTGTTCTCAAACTAACTACTAATCTTGTAGTCTGGTTGTAAGGGGGAGTCGTGTTTACCTTAAATATGGAAATATATTTCCAGTCTCCTCTGCAGAAATGAGAAACATGTGAATCCAAGGTTAATCATTATAGTTTTTCAGGGTCACCTTCCCTGGCTCAACGATCTCTGACACTCTCTCCCTAGATGTCGAGCTGGATAAACGCATTGGCAAAGCAGCTACCATGTTCTTTAGGCTCACAAAGGGAGTATGGCTTAATATAATAAGAAGTGCATATACCCAAGATCCAAGTGTATAGAGCCTGTGTCCTGAGTACACTCCTGTACTGCAGTGAGTCCTGGACCCTTTGTGCACGGCAGGAGAGGAAGCTGAACACATTCCATATGCGTTGTCTCCAACGCATATGGCAGGACAAAGTTCCAAATAGAGTAGTCCTAGAACAAGCTGGAATTTTTAGCATGTATACATTACTGAAACAACAATTTCTATGTTGGCTTGGACATGTCATGAGAATGGCTGATGGTCATATTCCAAAAGATCTCCTGTATGGAGAATTAGTGTAGGGAAATTGCATCAGAGGGAGAACACAACTGCGATACATGCATATGTGCAAGTGGGATCTGAAGGCCTTAGGAATGGACCTCAACAGATGGGAAACCTTGACATCTGAGGGTTCAACTTGGAGGCAGGCAGTGCTTCATGGCCTCTCCCATTTTGAAGAGACACTTGTTCAGCAGGCCGAGGCAAAGAGGCAGTCCCAAAAGCAGCAAAATTAGGGAGCTGGACAGGGGGCAGATTGTATTTATCTTCAGTGTGGAAGGGATTGTCACTCCTGAATTGGCCTTTCCAGCCTCACTAGACACTGCTCCAAGTCCTCTATTCAGAGCACATTACCATAGTCTCTCAAGACTGACGGATGCCTAATCTAAATCTAATTGTTACCACTGAAGTTGTATTTCCTTTTTGTTTTCTCTTTACCATTGCTGTTATATCATGTGGCATCAATGATAGTTAATTTAAAAAAAACTGGTCTACAAAGGCTGCTTGTGCCTCTAATATTCATAGATGTAGGCAAGAACATTCCCCCAAAAGTGTCATTCTGTCCTATTTATTTCCTCTTTATTTAACATGAATAGTGAACAATTGGATTTAGTTCAAGCCTATTAGCTTAGTTGGATTATAGAATACTTTAACAGTCAATTTGTATCAATGAGTGTATTTTAGGGGATCTCTGCAGTATAGATCTGCTGAATAGTAGATCATCTGGAGGGGGGCTGGCCTTATTATTCAGGGATGTTTGTTTCCAGAGAGAACAGGATATTGCTTTTAGTGACCGTCTGCCCTGCCTAGAAATTGCCACTTTTCTTCATCTGGGTTGTATTTGATCAAAGTGGAGTAAACCTTTTTCTCCCAAGTCATTGTAGTTATTCAGTGTGCTGTTGCTGACGATGTGCATGGTAGCCTACATTCTAATTATGGTCGCTCTTAGTTGGCTTCTGTTGTGGTCTTTTAAAACTTTGTACTGTATAGCCCGTTTGGCACTTGAATCCATAGAATGACAAGTTCATAACATTCCACAAATAAACAGGATGAGAAATGTAAGACACGGTGTAGGTTAACCATTCATTAGGTTATGAGATTAAGAAATGACTATCACTTTACAGTATTTCATTTCATCTGATTTCATTTTTACATTTCTTGCAAGTCCTATACAGTAATATTAAAATCTGTCTCTCGCATGGTGCTATTGTTGGTTTTTCCACAAGGACATTATGCAACTTGTTTTCATCCTTAGCACAGTTGTTTTTACAATTCTCTTCAATTTATTATTTAAAAAATAGAAAAGACATTTTGATTTATAGAACAAAAGAATAGTAAAATGTGCTCAAAGAAGACAGTAGTTGCAATATAGTGGGAAGAACTGTAGGGCTTTCACACTTGTAAACTTTTTTCATTTTAGCCATATGAAATACAAGATTCCTGTTGTCATAGAATTAAAACGTTGAACTTTGTGAACTTCCTTTATAAATTAGCCAACTGGCATTTGTTCCTAGAAAAACATTTTGGGTTCTACCACAACCTCTTTCAATCCTTTCTATGAATAATATGCTGTCACGGTGGGCACATGATTGTGAAAGCTGATATCTTGACAGAATTTTTATTTTGATTGTAAGTGTTTTTATTATACCAGTATCAAAACAATTGAGGTTTGTCAGTTCTTCAGTTTATGAGACAAGATTTTGACTTATTTTGATTGTAGCTTAACTAGTAGCTATAGTTCAGAGAACTAGGACCATAGTGGAATAATCTTTTCACTGATCTTTACATCAGGAAATCTATACCCTGTGTTGATTATTCAGCACAGTTCAACAGCAGTTTCTCCTTTGGGCAAAGAATGCCATGAGTTCATATGAGACAGGCATCTTGTTCTTTGTAAATAGCTGCAAGTTTAGTTTGTGCCTTCATGGTAGTCTAGTCTCTGAGGACTTTACCGTGAAATTGCAGCTCAATAAAGAATAAATACTGAAATGTAGTTAGTTAGTGGGTGGGTCTGTGAGAGGAAGAAAGGAATAAAGCAGAAAAGGCTAGCAGTGGCAGTAGGAGATGCACCTAAAAGTGTCCCTCATGGTACAGCATTAACATGATTTTTTTTTGGTTTGTAATCATTTTAATTTGCCCTGTTGTGCATGGTTTATGGACAATATTATGTAATACCAATATAATAAAAATTAGCCTATAATAGAGCAGATCCTTGTACTTAAAACACAGTCTGTTCCCTACTGATAGTCCTATGTTGACCCTATTTTTCCATTGGAGTCAGTGTTAAAATAGGAGTTTTCCAGTCAATTCTCAAGCCTTCTTATCACCTACTTCTACTTCTTCACTCTATTTTCTTCTGTCTTGTCTGCTCCTTTTCATCTGCTATGTTGTCCTCTCTTCTCCTGTCCATCTTTCAATGTCTTGCTTGCTCCTGCTACCCTGTTTTCCGCAAAATAAGACCTAACCTGAAAATAAGCCCTGGTATGATTTTTCAGAATGTTTGTAATATAAGCCCTACCCCCAGAATAAGCCCCAGTTAAGTGAAACCCCGCCCTCCACCCTTGTGCAGTAGCCAGAAGATGACATGACATGATTTGAATAAATGTAGATTGTTGTACATGAAAAAAAAAATAAAGCATTCCCTGAAAATAAGCCCTTATATGTTTTTGGAGGAAAAATAAGACCCTATGGGGAAAACGGTATCTTTCTATCTGTCACATTTATATCTTGTCCTGTTTCTCAAGATCTTAGTACAATTATATTTGATAGAAATATAATTTTTATTGCCACAGGTATATCATTCATAATTTTTTTCAATTTTTTAAAAAAGTAAACCATTGAAAACATGAGAAACTAGATACATACATTTAAGTCAATAACAATAAGGAAACCTCCACAGTACGGTAGGACCCCTGTATCTGCAGATCAATATCCACTGATTCACTTATCCACAGTCTGAAAATATTTTTTAAAATTTTAAAAATAAAAATTACTTTTTCACGTTTTACCATAACTGGCCATTAGAGGGAGCCAGAGACAGTGCTTTTCAGAATTTCTTTTCTTTTACCACAGTAGTTCTCAAATTTTTTCAATTCCCTTTCATCCCTGATCCTGGTGGCTCAGCCCCTTTGCCTGCTGCAGGAGGTAGGTGGAGAGGTGTGGGGCTTCCTTCCCAATCCTGAGTGTGGAGCACCCTTCCCTTGAATGCTTATTCTCCCTCCCAGGTTCTGTGTCCAACTGCTTCCGGCTCATTCTCCTAGGCCTTCAGTTGTGGGCAGGATCCATCTGCTGACCACTGCCTCAGGCCCGCCTCCACCTTGCAGCACATCATGAAGAAGTGGCCCCAGAGATGGCAACTCTCGCCCCTCCCCATCCCCACCCCTGATGGCTCAGCTCCTCCACCCGCTGCAGGAGTTACATGTGGGGGCATAGGGCTTGCCCGGGCCACCTCTTTTGATGGTGGCAACAACGGTGGTGGGGTGTTTGCTATTATCTGCAGTTTTTAGGGTCCGCAGGAGGGCTTGGAAACGATTCCCCATGGACATAGGGGTCCTACTGTGTTTCCTCTGTTAGCAACACTGTGTGATGGCTGTGTTCAGTCATTGATTGGGACTCTAAAACTAAGTTTTGGACTCAGGGGATTAAGAAGTTACCCAAAATGTGATTGATAAAATGAACCATCATTAATCATCAGTCTACTGTAAATAAAATAAATACAGGAAATAGAAATGGAATATAAAATACATAAATTGAGCTAAAATATCTGAGATGAATGTATTTGCCTGGTAATGAATTTCAATAGCATCCACATCAGTATCCTGCTGAAAAATCATTCCAGATGAGAAGATCATCTCTTTTGTTAGCTTCCTGCCCAACTTCATTCAGTAGTGGCATCTGTAGGACAGTCTCAGATGATGATAAAATGTCAGATATCCACGAAAGGAGTGATTTAGATACTGTGTTCGTGTTGATACTGTGTTCGTGTTATATTAACCTATTAAGCTTAGAAAGTGGTCATGATCACTTTACACATACTATATTTTCTCATGAATAATATGTTTTCAAACAAATTACTTGATGGGAATACAATTGCTTTAGACAAAATAAAATATGAATGACTTTTAAATTTTTATAAACAAAATCAGTTAAATTATAATTTAGGTGATCAGTTTTCTTGTTTTAGTAAGTTGTAAGTACTGTTAGTCACCAAGTCATATTATGAATAAATGAAGCATTTATGTTCCATTTAGTCATATTATGAATAAATGAAGCATTTATGTTATTGTAATTGTGATTGTAATTGTTATTACAGCACCATGGAGATTTTAATGCATCGCTTAGTGAAGTGGTGTTATCTTGGAATTACTTGCTACCTGACAAGCTTAGAATATTACACAAAAATGAGGAAGCTCCTGAAAACTATGCTGAGATCAGTAGTGTTTATACTAGCTTTTTAAAGCGCTGCAATATGATGGATCTTATAGATATCCATCAAAAATGTGGATCACTATTACTGGAAAATGAGTCTCTATCATCTGTAAGTATATCTATAATTTATTTGAATATAACAGTTTTGTCAAGAGCTTTGTGGTTGCCTCTGGCAAATGCAAATAATATTTGATATTAGTAGAGGAAACTTTTGAACACTTAAATATTTTGCTTTGTAAGGCAATTATGTAACAAAAATAAGTAAAATACTAGGTGATGGTCACTAAACATTTTTTGTGGGCTAGTAACTTGTATGGGCTTATTTAGAAGGCTGAAATTAAACATTGTACTGTAACCAAGAAAGTGATCTAGATGAAGTGGAATTAGCTGCACAGTAATCCTAAAATCCTTGCCAAAGCCACATATTAGCTGTATTTGCATCTTCAGTTTTCCTGCTAAATCTTTGTAAAGGCTAAAAGCTGTGTGGCTTATGAAGTAAGATAATCTTGTTTTAATACATCCAGCACAATACTGGACATGGTGGTCTTATGTCACAGTAACTCTTGAGCAAAAGAGAGATGCAGTGACTTTAACGTGGAAAGATTTAAAGAAAACTGCTGTGGTACTTTAAGGTTGTGGGCATAGGATGAGGAAGTTGACTGTTGAAACCTTTTGTCTGGTGGGGAAGTTTTAGAAATACTGACGGGATTTTTTGAGAGTTGGACTCCAAAACCTCTGGAGGGCCAAAGGTGCCTCCATCTCTAACATATTTGACATTGTCTTCGATCAGTTATTCACCTAAATCAGTACTATTATTTCAGTCCTTCCGAAGTCATTTTGACTAGAATTATAACATTAAATCTAGGACCTTATCCAAGCAAAATATGTATTTATAGTATATGTTTTGCTTGCTCTTCTTTCTACATTGCTTTTCCTTATATAATATTTAAAGCAGTTATTTACTTATTTAGAGTGTATTCTATCCTATATCTTGATCTCAGAGCAACTATTTTCTATACACAAAATTATGATGGCAGTTTCTAGGAGTATCTCAGAATATGTCTATATGAATGGGTGGTCTTGCACATTCCTGAATGGCTAGCTCAAAGCTGGTCAGAAAGCTTTATCCCTGTCAAAGTGGATCTCCACTATTTCAGGTCTGTGCTCACATGGCCACTTGGGTGTCACTCCTCTGCATGGTTATATTTGTCACCTACTTATGCAGCAAGCCCTGTTTTAGGTGCTAAAGAATTAGCACATCTTCCATAACCTCCTTGTGAAGTATAGGAAAGTATATGTTGGTCTTCAGATGTGAATGGATTGCAGCTGGTATCTGCCACAGCCAGTAGTCAGCATTGAGGGCTGATATGACATCTGGAGGGCTGCATTTTCCCCACTGCAGACTATTAACATCTCTTTTTGCTTGCCAAAGGTACAGCTGTTAGAATTCATTACTGGAACAGTGGACTTAGGTAGTGAAAATAATGCCATTCCTTCTACACCATCCACACCAAGTAACAGAACAAACGAGTTTAATGAAGAGGTAAGATATGTGATTTTTGCCCTGTATCCTGAAGTAATAGGATTTTAACAGAGAAAATGCTGTTCTAGCTATTAAGCGTTGGGTTTTTTTCATTTTTGACAATTTTGTTCCTTTGTGACAGAAGCACAGAAGGTAATAAATATATGAGAATTTTTGCTCCTTAATGGGCAACTTCAAGAGCATCAGGGCTCTTAACATCTAATATCAAGTCTTTAATATTAGATGCACATATGTAGTGGTACACTGATACATGTGTGAAGTTGCCTGTTTTTCTCTGCACTTGCAAAGATCGGTGTCTATGCAAAAGCTCCATTTTATTAGGTTCACTTTGATTCTGCCATCCCTAGTCTGTCATGTGTGTTTGTTTAGAAATCACACTTTTGGAATCTGACATTCAACTTGAACTGATCTGCACATTTCACTGAAAAAGAAAGGGAAAAAAAGACAGGTGCAGGAATAAAAGCCAAATGTAATTTACATTCCAGTTCATTGCAAATAAGCAAGCACACTGATACATGGTGCTTGATCAGTCCTCCCTGCTTCCTCCTTCAGAAGACAATAACCAACATTTATCAGTCCATTATTTCTTTAGTGTATTGTGCAAAATAGGAACTCTTAGTTTGTGGGTTTCCCCTATAAGGTGTTCATAGGTTATGATTTTTCTTGGACTGTAATGTTTTAGCTTGTTGGGTGAGGGATAATCCAGGGCTCCTGACTTGCGGATGGCATTAAACACAAAGAACCTGCAGTGCAACTGTACATGTATAATTTAGCCACTCCTCCTTGAAGTGAGTGTGATTAAACAGCATGAACAATAATGTTGCTTATATACATTTAAGCCTTGGTTTGTTGGTACAGCTATGAGGTCAGTGCCCTTGTTTGTAAAAACAGGTTTCAGAACTGTGAATATTAGTAAACCCAAGGTTTTGAATCTTTTCATAGGAATCTTTTCATGTTCATTTTCTTGTGGCCTTTTAAGTTACCTGAGCTTTAGTCATGGGGTCATATTAAAGATAATATGCTTTCTGAAAGTCTGCTCCATAGGCCAGAGAGCAAAGAAAATATTCTTTACGTCTTCATTGGCTCTGAATAGTAAACAGTTTAAAAGATGAAATAGCATTTGTTATCCAAATACATAGGTTGGACATGTAAGGCTAGTTGTTTGTGAGACTTGAAAAGAAAAGGATAATATATGCTTAGTATTCTATGGTTAATATATAATTCAGTATACATTTAAATATCCATATTAATTCATCTGTGTTTACTTCATCTCTTACTAGGTTTTCAAAGCAGACACAGTTTTTTAATGCCAAGAATAAAGATGGCTTTTCTGCTTTGTTATGCATGTGTTTCCTAAGGTATTCCTAAATCATGATTTCTTGAAGTAAACAATCTACAAGAAGATAATGGGTTTATGTTTTATGTAGATGCCTTTGATGGTGAAGAAAATTCTGTATTCATATTTAAGCTTGTTAGTTAACTCCAGGAATGACCTAGCCTTCGCTCACGTTTTAAACATTCCTGAAAGAGGGCTTGGAAGAGAAGCTTTCACTGACCTACGGCATGCTGCACAGAAAAGAGAAATGTCCATATTTCCAGTATGTATGAGATGTTGGCTCTAACTTTCAGAGAATACTAAGGAAATAAAATAGCACGACCACTGGAAACTATATATACTTTTGCCTAAAAATGAAATATAAGACTTAATTTGTGTACCTAGTTTCCTTGAATTATGCTTGGTTAAACTCAGTTGAACTTATATTTTGATATACATGTGTGGGATTGCACTGAAAGACTGTAAACTAGATATATACTTGATTCATACTGTATAGAACAGTCAGCTTTCTAGTAGCATTATCTGCTGTATAGTAAGTAGCCAACTAACTTTTCAGATATGGGAATTTCTAAAACATTTTGATATGTAATAAAAACTAGTGCTGCAGTTCAAGAAATAGAAAGTGTGGTAGGATGCATCTGAAGACCTCCTAAGAAAAAAACTGGGAAATCTGACTATGATATTTCCACTTGGGACTGTATCAGGTATTCTTAATACAAGTCTTGCACATGTTATGGGCCATCAT